ACCCTGCCAACGCCTCAACCGGGCACCAGCACCCCGCCAGCACCGCATCCGGGCACCAGCACCCCGCCAACGCTGCACCAGCTGGGACCCGGCCTGGGAAAGGCGCTGCGGGTCCCAGGGGGTCCCAGGGAAGCGCCGCAGGGCTGTGCCGGGCCGGTGCGGCGTGCCGGGGTCCGCCGGGACCCCCCCCCAGCCCCGCTGCAAGGCCGTGCCAGGCTCCCAGCCGGCGCTGCGGGGCCGTGCCAGGCGCGCTGCCGTGCTGCGGGGCTTTGCAAGGCTCGCGCCCGGCGCTGCAGGATTGCACAGCACCAGCACCCGGCGCTGTGGGGCCACGCAGGGTTTGCAAACGGGGCTGCAGGGCCGCGCAGGACCAGCACCCAGCACCACAGGGCCACTCAGGACCAGCACCCAGCACCGCAGGGCCACGCAGGACCTGCAAATGGTGCTGCAGGGCCATGCAGCACTTGCAAACGGTGCTGCAGGACTGCGCAGCACCAGCACCCAGCACCGCAGGGCCACTCAGGACCAGCACCCAGCACCACAGGGCCACTCAGGACCAGCACCCAGTGCTGCAGGGCTGCTCAGGACCAGCACCTAGCACTGAAGGGCCACTCAGGACCAGCACCCAGCACCGCAGGGCCACTCAGGACCAGCACCCAGTGCTGCAGGGCTGCTCAGGACTAGCACCCAGCACCGCAGGGCCACTCAGGACCAGCACCCAGCACCACAGGGCCACTCAGGACCAGCACCCAGCACCACAGGGCTGCTCAGGACCAGCACCCAGCACTGCAGGGCTGCATGAGGCTCCTGCCTGGTGCTGCAGTGCAGGATGCGGCCCCGGGGCCCAAGGCAGAGCCCACAGCCCACGGCTCAGCACCCGGGGCCAGAGTGGGGGGGGGCCCACGTCCCGCCTCGCCTCCTTTACCACCCGGCAAAGCTGGGCCCCGCGGTGCCCCCCGCCACGGCCGCCCCACGCCGAGGGGCCCCCGAGCCCCAAAAAGCCCCGGTAGCACCAGGCGTGGTGGGGAGGTGAGGGGGGGGGGGGGGGGGGATGGACCCCCCAGGGCCACCCCCCTGCCTGCCCCCCCCCCCCGCCGCCACCATCGGTCCCAGCACCTCTCAGCACCCTGGGGCCGCCGGCGCGGCTCGCTGCCAATTAGCCAGCACCCCGCAGCGAGCGGCCGGCGGCCCCCCCCGCCCCTGCCCGCCTGCAGCCCCCCCCCAGCACCTTTCACAGTTACAGAGAAGAGACGGCGACGGGCCGGAGACCCTCGGCGAGCCTCCCCCTCCCCGCGCCGTAGCACCAGTCCCCGGAGCCCCTCCGCTCCAGCACCGGGCACAGGGTCCGGCCACGCCAGCCAAGCGCCGGGGACGCTGTGTGTGTGTGTTGTGTCCCCCCCCCTTGCCCCCCCCCCGGCACCGAGCCGGACCCACAGCTGCCAGACAAGTAGCACCATCCACAGCAACGCCAGCACCCTGCCTGCACCCTGCCTGCACCCTGCCTGCACGCACCACGGCTCCCCTCCGCACCGCAGCCACCGCGCACCTCACCGGCACCCAGCGCCCCGGAAAAAAGTTGGGGGGGGGGGGGGGACGACGACACACACATGACACCCAACCCCGCTTGGGACAAGAGGAGCGATGCGCCCGGGCGACGCCGGGGTCCCATTGCGGCTCGCCGGGGGCCCATCGCTCTCCCCAACACCCCCCCCCCCAACTTTGCCAAGCGCCTCGACCCCGCGGATGTAGCACCAGGGGTTCGGGGACCCGCAGCCGTCCCCCGTCCCAATGTCAGAAGCGCCCCAGCCACGCTCCATGTGTGTCCCCCCCCACCCCAGCTCCGTCCCCCCGCGGCACCGCCACAGCTCTGGGCACGAGCCCGATGCGGAGCCCCCCCGTTGCCCCCGCGCCGCCCCGGCAGGGAGGGGCCGGGGGGACCCAAACCGGCCCCGGCCCCCCCGGCCGGGGACGCCACGTACACAGAAGAGCACCAGTACGTTTTGTGCGCGTGGCGGGCGGGAGGAGGGCGGGGGGGGGGGGGGGGGGGGGGCGCTTCCTTTTAGGACAGAAAAAGGTTATTGCATGACTCGGGATGGAGACGCTTCCCGCCCGGCCGCCGCCCCGGCCCCCTCCCGCGCCGCTCGCTCGGAAAGGCCCGGCACGTAAGGCAACATGGAAGCTGATGTCTCGACTCACCCCGCTGTTTAAAAGCACCATTATGAAGTCAGGTTGTACAGTAGTAACAGTACCTTTTATATATATATATATCTATATCTCATATCTATCATATATATATAAACTGTAAACAAGAGGTAACAGCGGCTTCTAGAATTTGCTTTCTTCAAGGTTTCCTGTGTGGTAGGCACCCAAAATACTGTAGAAAAGGTGTGTGTTGTGGTGTGTGTGTTCTCGGCTTCCCTGCCAGTTGGGTTGGCTCCATATCACCAGTGAACGGTGCTGGTGGAAAAAAAAAAAAAAAAAAAAACCAAAAAAAAAACCCAAAAAAAACCAAAACCCAAAGAGTGAGGCTCAGTGGCTGGCGTGGCGGAGCTGCTCCCTGCCGCGCTCCCCGCCAGCTCGCCGGGCCGGGGCGCCGGGGCGCAGCGCAGCGGAGGGGTCCCCCTCGCCCCCCGCCTCTCCCGGCCGGGCTTTTCCCGCTGCCCCGTTTCCCCTCCCGCGGGAGCGGGGCTGGCGACGGCGCCTCGTCCCGCCCGCCGCTGCTCCCAGAGGCAGAAACCAAACCAACAGAAAAACCCAGCCAGAAGAAGAGCGGAAAATTAAAAGGTTACCCCAAAAAAAAAAAAAAAAAAAAAAAAAGTTTTGGTTTTTTGTTTTCTTTTTTTTTTTCTTTTTTTTTTTCTTTCCTTTTCGCTTTGCTTTTTTGTTGTTGCTGTTTTTTTTGTCGTTTTCGTTGTTGGTGTTTTGTTTGTTTTTTTTTTTTTTTTGCGTGGTGTTGTTTTGTTTTTGTTTTTTTTTTTCCGTTTTTTTTTTTTTTTTTTTTTTTTTTAAATAGGCTAAAAGCTGAACATTGGAAATTCAGGAGAGGACACCGAACCCTTTCGCTCGGGGAGACGTGTGCTGGGTTCCCGTCGGGCTGCGAAATCCCGTCTCTCTTCTGGGTGCTGACTCTTCTCTTATTCCGTGTTTTCACTTCTCTTGGCGTGGATGGTTTTGTTTCTGACTTGCTCCGTGTCACCAGTTCCTGTCCGTCTCTAAACGCAGGCGAAGTATTCCTTCAGGGGAGCAAAGAGGTGGCGGATCACCGGCACGCTCCAGGATCTGCCGAGCAGTCTCTGCCGGGCCAGGCGGCTCATGTTGGACACGTCTGTGTAATGCACCGGGAAGCCGAAGACCCTGCGGGGGACACGGGGGTCAGGGGGGGGGACACGCGGGGCTGCCGGTGTCCCCGTGTCCCCCGTCCCCCCCCCCGGCCCGTGTACCCAGCCGGGTACCTCTCCATCTCCGTGCACCACAGGATGTCCTCCTTCTCGTTCATGAAGACGGGGAAGTGCTGGTCCTTGCCCTGCTTGATGGAGTTGGAGCGCGTGGTGATGGTTCGCACTTTGCTGAACTGCAAGAGGGACGGGGGCTCGTCACGCTGGGGGGCAGGGGGAGGCAGAGGATGGAGCCCCCCCCCCCCCCCCCCACCAGTACAGGCGCAGGCGGGGTGACTCCCGGCCCGCGGTGCCGCCGCCGCGTCCCTCCTCCACCCTCAGGGGACCCCTCCCCTGCAGCCCCAGCAGCCTGGGACCGCCGGGGATGGCGGCAGGACCCCCCCCCCCAGCCCCAACTCAACCCCCCCAGCCCCACTCCCCCCACGCCGGGGCTGACCTTGGCTATCCTGCCGTGCTCCAGGCACTCCTGCAGCTCCAGCTTATCGTTGACCGTGGAGGCGAGTGGCCTGGGGGAGAGAGATGGGGGGGGGGGGGGGCCAGGGGGGTGGGCACGGGGCGGCAGCTCCCCAGCTGGGGGTTTTTGGGGGTGCTGGGTGGTTCTGGGGGGGGGTGAGGAGCCAGCCCATCCCCGTGGGATCCTGCCCGTGGCCACCAGCCCCACGCCACCCCACCAGCACCAGGGAGCGAGGACGGGAGCGGCCCCCTCTGCGGGGCTCTGGGCTTTTGGGGTGCGCTGGCACCCGGTGCCACTTCACGAGACACTGAGTGGGGGGGGGGGGGGTCAGGGGACTCCCAGAGCCACGGCCGGGCCAGGGGGAGGACCCAGGGGTCCGGCTCTTCTGCAGCCCCCCCGCTCCCCATCCTCCTGGTGCCGGCGCAGATTCCGGGGTGCTCTCACCAACCTGTTCATCCCGGGAAGGTTCCCCCAAAAGTACCGTGCCCTGTGTGCTGCAGACACTTCTTTGGCATCAATCATGACGGGGTTGGACTGTTGAGGAGTCAAAAAGTCAGGGGGGCTCGGCAGCCCGCCGCGGGGGCAGGCCCCTGGGGGTCCCCCCCCCCTTGGCGACACCCCCAGCCCCCGGCCCTCACCTCCAGGAAGCGCGAGATGTCCCTCTTGTCGCTCACCCCCATGGCCACCACGTTCTCGAAGAGCCAGAAGAATGGCCGGTCGTCGCCCTCCTTGGGCCGCGCTTCGTGGAGCAGGCGGTAAAACTCGAAGAAGAGCCGCCCCGTGCCCTCTGGGCAGGAGAGAGCGAGGGGGACGGGTGTCAGCGGTGGGGGGGCCGGCGGCGGTGGCGGGGGGGGGGCTCAGCCCCAGCCCGGTGAGCAGACACCTACCATAGAGCCCCTTCCGGGCCGGGTTGACGATGGAGAGGTCGTTGCAGGGGCTCCCCCCGATCACCAGGTCGAAGGGGCCCCACTCCTGTATCTGCAAGATGGGGGGGGGGGGGGGGAGCCCCCGGTGAGGCGGGGGGGCCGGTGTCAGCTTGGGGGTCACCGCACCGGCCGTGGAGGGCTTGGAGGGGGGCGGGGGGGTTATGCCTGGATACATGGGGTGTGGGGGTGGATGGTGGCCGGGCTCCCCGGCGCGGCCGTGCCGGTGAAACCCAGCGCGTGGGGGAGAGGCAGGACAAGGGTCCCATCCTGGGAGCCGAGCACCGGGGTGATTCGGGGTGGGGTGGGGGGGACCCGCGGGGGGTGTGTGTGTGTGTGTGTGTGGGGCGGGGGGGGGGGGGGCCGGCCGGCAGGACGTACGTGTTTCTGGGTGACATTTCGGACGTCCCCGACGTACATGATCTTGCCCTGGTGCCTCACCATGCCCACGGTGATGGAGTCCTCGCACACCTCGGAGGCGATGTAACGGTCCACCTGGATGCCCAGGTCCTTCAGCACCAGCAGGCCTGCGGGGAGCGGGGCTGGGGTGGGCGGCGAGGGGGGGGGGACACACACACACACAGAACGGGGACCCCCACCCCCCCGGCGGTGTCCCACCCCAGCAGCCTCCCACACCCACGGAACACCCGGCTGGGGCTCCTCCGCCCGCCGCAGATGGGTGCGGGACCCCCCCGCCCCGCCCCCCCGTCCCAAACACAACCCAGGGGGGGTCCCCACGGGAGGCGGGGGGGGGGGGGGCTGGGGACCCCCACCCACCAGTGGCGATGCCGTCGAAGAGCGAGAGCACCCGGATGGGCTTCCTCTTCTCGGCCGGCACCGGCGGGTACACCTTCGGCGGGTCCTGGAAGCCACGGGTGGGTGTCAGGGTGGGTGTCAGGGTGGGGCAGCGGGGTTTGGGGGGGGGGTGGGGGGTGGGGTGCGTGCCCTTCCGCAGGGCGGCAACTCACAAACTCCTGGTCGTGGTTGTTGGCGAAGAACATCTGGAGGCGCGAGGGCCAGTCCTCCCGCCGGCGCAGCAGCCCGTAGACGCCTTTATGGCCGCACATGTAGCAGTTCCAGGGGTCCTCCTTGATGGCCGCCTGCGCCGCCCCCGGGCCCACCAGCAGGTCCACGCACTCCACGCAGAAGCACCTGGGAGAGCCGGCGTCAGCGGCGGGGCCGGGCCCCGTGCCCCCCCCCCATCCCCGGCCGGGGGGACGGCGGGGAGCGGTGACACCCCTGGCACAGCCCCCGCTGCCCAGCGGGATTCGGGCCAGGCTGCGGCCGTGCCCCTCGAAGGACACGGGGGGGGGGGCACGCTGGGACCTGCGGCATCACCGAAACCTCCCCAGCGCCACGCCGGGACGGAGGCATCGCCAAAAACCCCACAGCGCGACTGTGGGATCCCCAAAATGTCCCAGCCCCACACACACCGTGACTGTGGCATCACCAAAGCATCCCAGCCCCACACATACCACGACTGTGGCACCACCAAAACCCCACACTGTGACTGTGGCATCACCAGAACATCCCAGCTCCACATACACCACGACTGTGGCATCGCCAAAACCCCGCACCGTGACTGTGGCATCACCAAAATGTCCCAACCCCCCCCCCCCCCACTGCAACTGTGGCATCACCAGAACATCCCCAGCCCCACACATACCACGACTGTGGCATCGCCAAAACCCCACAGCGCAACTGTGGCATCACCAAAACGTCTCAACCCCACACATACCACAACTGTGGCATCACCAAAACCCTACACCGTGACTGTGGCATCACCAAAACCCCACACTGTGACTGTGGCATCACCAGAACATCCCCAACCCCACACTGCGACGTGCGGCATCGCAAAACCCCACACCATGACTGCGGCATCACCAAAACCCCCCCAGCCTCATGCCAGGACTGGGGCATCACCAATAATATCACACCGGGACTGTGGCGCCACCAAAACCTCCCAGTCCCATACTGAGACTGTGGCATCACCAAAGCATCCCAGCCCCACACCATGACTGGGATCACCAAAACCCCACAGCAGGACCACAGCATCACCAAAACCTCCCCAAGCTCACGCCAGGTTTGGGGCATCACCAAAACCTCCCCAGCTCCGTGCCGGGACCGTGGCATCACTGCAACCTCCCCAGCCCCACGCTGGGACTGAGGCATCGCCAAAACCTCCCCCGGACCCACACCATGACTGCGGCATCACCAAAACCTCCCCCATCTCATGTCAGGTTTGGGGCATCACCAAAACCTCCCCAGCCCCACGCCAGGACTGGGGCATCACCGCAACCTCCCCAGCCTCACGCCGGGCACCCCAAACCCTGCGCAGCCCCGCGCCGGGACCGTGGCACCCCAAACCCTCCGCAGCCCCGCGCCGGGACTGTGGCACCCCAAACCCTCCGCAGCCCCGCGCCGGAACCGTGGCACCCCAAACCCTGCGCAGCCCCGCACCGGGACCGTGGCGCCCCAAACCCTGCGCACCCCGCGCCGGGACCGTGGCGCCCCAAACCCTGCGCAGCCCCGCGCCGGGACCGTGGCACCCCAAACCCTGCGCAGCCCCGCGCCGGGACCGTGGCACCCCAAACCCTGAGCACCCCGCGCCGGGACCGTGGCGCCCCAAACCCTCCGCAGCCCCGCGCCGGGACGGCAGCCCCGGACCTGCAGCAGTTGTTGTTGCCGCACATGAGCACCTCGCGGCCGCCGCAGCAGATGGTGCAGTAGGACTGGTACCCGTCGTCGTCGTACTGGTACGCGCACTCCAAGAAGCAGTTCTGGGGGAGAGCCAAGGCGTGAGCGCGGCGCCGGGGGGGGTGGTGGTGGGGGGACACGCCGGGCACCCTGCGAGGGCCCCGGGGTCCGGGACGGGGGGTTCGGGGGGACCCGGCTGTGCCCTGGCGCCGGGGCCGCGCCGTACCTTGCAGTTTTGGCACATTCCTCCGATAAATAGAGGGTGCTCCAGGGTCACGTTGAGGCTCCCGCAGGAGATGCAGATGTCTTGAGGGGGGGAGGGAAGGAGGGGGGACGTTACCCCCAGGCTCTGCCAGGCCCCCCCCACCCAGGCTGCCAGCACATGGGGAGCAGCCTGACCCCCAGCCACGTCCTGCCGCGTCCCCCCCCCTCCCCAGCTTCACCCCCTCCAAGTGCCAAACCCCCGCGGTGTGACGGGGACGTGTGTCCCCCCCTGCCCCGCTCCTGAGGGCAGGATGGGTCCCAGCCCCATTCCAAGGGCAGGATGGGTCCCAGCCCCGCTCCCGAGGGCACGATGGGTCCCAGCCCCGTTCCCGAGGGCAGGATGGGTCCCAGCCCCGCTCCCGAGGGCACGATGGGTCCCAGCCCCACTCCTGAGGGCAGGATGGGTCCCAGCCCCGTTCCCGGTCGTCGCCCCACACTCACCTTCAATGTTCCTGCATTTCTGTCGGACCTCATACACGAGCCGCTCTGGGGAGGGAGAGGGGTGTCAGGGGCTGGGGGGATCCCCTCCCTATGCCCCCCCCAAAGGGGCAGGTCCCCAATGGAGGAGGGGACGTGACCCAGAGCAGCTTTCGCCCCGCAGCCCCCCAGGGCGAGCGCGGTCGGACTGAGCTCCCCTGCAGGGTCACAGCCAAGGAAACCCCCGCGGGGAGGGGGGGTCTGGGACCGCATCACCCCGTTCAGCCCAGACCCCCATGGCACTGGTCTGGGTCCGACCCATGGCACTGGTCTGGGTCCGCATGGCCCAGCTCGCCCCCCCGGGCAGTACCTCGGGTGCGCTCGTCGATGATCTCCTTGACCTTGGGCTTCTCCGTTGTGCTTTTCCTGGGTTTTTTGGCGGGCGGGGGCGGTGCGTAGGCGGCTGCTTCTGGCTCTACCCACATCTCCGTGTAAACTTCTTTGTAGGGGTTTCGCTCTTCTGCAAGGGGCGCGGGGGGGGGGGGGTCCCGTCAGCCCCACAGAGGTGGGACACACACACACACACACACACACGACAGAGCTGCCCCCCAAGGACCCACCAGCCCCACGGCGCATCCTCTGCCCAAGCCCGTGTCACCCTGGTGATGCCGGAGCCGATGGTCCCGGGGGACAGTGGCCAAAGCCACGGGAGGGGGGGCCCCCCCCCTCCCAAAACTCACCTTCGGGGGGCTCCAGGCCCTTGGGGCCGGAGGGCTGGAAGCCGCCCAGGGCCCACTCGATCATCTGCTTGTTCTGGATCTCCACCACCTTGGAGGTGTCCGTCTCATCGTTCTCGGGGCACGCTGGGAAGATCTTCCCCGCTCTGCTGCTCGCCACCTGCCCCGGGGAGCCGCAGGCCCGGCCGTCACCCACCCACCCCGCCGAGGGGGTGCCCACCCTCAGCACCCCCCCACCCCCCCCCCCCCCAACCCCGAGCTGCTCCAGACGCACTGCCCGCGTCGCCCAGCCGGGCAGCCCCCAGCGCCGAAGCGACCGACGGGGTCAAGTTCCCCCACATCGCCCCACAAGAAGCCCCCCCAACACCTCCCAGCGCTGCCGAGAGCCCCCCCAAAAAAAAACAGGACAACCCCTTCCCCGCCCCCAGCGTCACCCAACGGGGACTTCAACTCCCCAGAGCCCCCAACCTCCCCCCCCCCCCAGCTTCCCCAGCAGGCACCCCTGGCTGGGACAAGAGACCCCCAAAATCTCCTTAGGGAGCTCCCTAGGGCCCCCCCACATTTAAAGGACACCCCGTGACGCCCCGCTGGGCGCAGGAGCTGAGGCTGGGCTGGATCCTGGGAGGGAGAAGAGGCAGCTGCCTGCTCCCCCCCCCCCCCCCCCCCGGGGCTGGCGGGACGGACCCGCTTGGGCATCGGTGCCCCCCCCCCCCCAAAACTCCCGGTGCCGGGGGTGGGGGGGTGCGGGTGCCGCCCCGCAGCCGCTCACCTGCAGCACCTCGTAGATGGCTTTGCGGTACATGGGCTGCTTGTTGTAGGTGGCCTGGTGGAAGGCGCTGGCGAAGGAGCTGAGCGGCAGGAGCTTCTCCACGCAGACCTGGGGGCCGGGACGCGGCCCGTGAGCCGGCGGGAGGGAGCGGGGGGGTGGTGGTGGGGGGGGGGTCCCCCCCCCCATTCCCTGCAGGGTGCCACTTACCACCGAGAACTTGCCGTCCCCAAACCACATCACCCAGCGGGTGCCCTCGGCCGCCCGGCTCCGGCCCGTCATCCACCAGGACACGATGCGCCCGGGCCACCACGAGAAGCCGCGCAGCTTGCCCCACACCAGCTCGCCGATGCCGAAGCCCCGGCCGTCCTGCGCCGTGGGGAGATGGGGGTCAGAGCCCGGTGACCCCCCCCCCCCGGCCCCCCAGCTGCCCCCTCCCCGTTCTCCCCGGCCCTCACCTCGTACTCGGGCTCGTCGTCGGCCGACTTGGAGGTGCCCTTGTCCACGGCGTCGGCCACCACGGGCTCAGGCGTGGTGGCCACGTTGGGCGAGGCGGGGTCGGTGGGCTGCTGCGAGGCGGGGGGGCTGGCCTCCTCCTCCTTCTGGGGCTCGGCCCGCGGCGTCTCCTCCACCACGTTCATCACGGCGATCACCTTCGCCTTCTTCTCCGCCTGGGGAGGGGACACGCGCCCACCCCCCCCCACCCCCGCGGTGAGGGCAGGGGCGGGCAGACCCCCTCTTCCCCCCCCCCCCCGGGGCACTGGGGGGGTGTCCGGCCCCCCCCCCCCCCCCCCCGCAGCGCGCCTTGGGGTGCCCCCCTGAGTGCCCGTGCCTCAGTTTCCCCCTGCGGTCGGGAGTTGGGGGCCGGGGGGGGGGGGGTTGTGCAGCGTGGGGAGTGTTCGCAAAGCCGCGGGGGTCGCCTCTGGGGGGGAAGAGGTGGCTGCACCCCCCAGCGCCCAGCCCCGCACCCCGGCCCCCCCCGCGCACCCTCCGCCTGTGTCCCGGGTCACCCCCCCGTGTGCCCGGGACCCGAGCGCCCGACTGCACTGAGCCGGGCCGAGCCGAGCCGAGCCGAGCCGGGCCGGGCTGAGCCGAGCCGAGCCGAGCCGAGCCGGGCCGAAATGAGCCGGGCCGAGCCGAGCCGAGCCGGGCCGAAATGAGCCGAGCCGAGCCGAGCCGGGCCGAAATGAGCCGAGCCGAGCCGAGCCGAGCCGGGCCGAAATGAGCCGGGCCGAGCCGAGCCGAGCCGGGCCGAGCCGAGCCGAGCCGGGCCGAGCCGAAATGAGCCGAGCCGAGCCGAGCCGAGCCGGGCCGAGCCGCCCTCCCCGCGGTGGTCACCTACCCATGCGGGCTGAGCGCCGCAGCGGGCCGGGCCGAGCCGAGCCGAACCGAGCCGAGCCGAAATGAGCCGGGCCGAGCCGAGCCGGGCCGGGCCGAGCCGAGCCGAGCCGAGCCGGTCGGGCCGAGCCGAGCCGAGCCGAGCCGAGCCGAGCCGAGCCGAGCCGGGCCGAGCCGAGCCGAGCCGAGCCGAGCCGGGCCGAGCCGAGCCGGGCCGAGCCGAGCCGGGCCGAGCCGATCGGGCCGCGGGGCAGGGCCGGCGGTTCTTTGTCTGGGCTCCCCGGGTCACATGGTGCCTCCCGGCCCGGCTGGTTGGCTGCGGCGGGGAGGGGCCGCGCGGCGCCGAGGGGACAGCCCGGCCCGGCCCCCCCGCGCCTCGGCCCGGCTCGGCCCCGCTCGGGGAGGCTCGGCCGCGCTCGGCCGCTCCAATCGGGTCCGCTCGGCAACTCGGGTCGGGTCGGGTCGGCTCCGCTCGGGTCGGGTCGGCTCCGCTCGGCAACTCGGGTCGGGTCGGGTCAACTCGGCCGCCCTCGGCCGCTCGGATTGGGTCTGGTCGGCCCCGCTCGGGTCGGTTCGGCCACTCGATCGGGTCGGCTCGGCCCCGCTCGGTTCCGCTCGGCGGCTCGAATCGGGTCGGCTCGGGTCAACTCGGCTCCGCTCGTCCCGGTTCCCTCCCCGCCGCCCGGTCGCTCCCGGCCCCGCTCCGCCGTCTCCCCCCCCCCCCCCCCGGCCCGGCCGCCCGGTGACCGGCTCCCCCCGGTACTCACCGGCCCGGCGGCAGCGATCCCGTCCGGGCTGGGCTGGGGCGGGCTCCCCGCCGCGGGGCCGCTCCGCGCCGCCTTTTGTCCCGGGGCCGCGGCCCCCCCGGCCCCTTTGTGCTGCGGAGCGGGGGGGGGGGGGGGGGGGCGGTGGCGCCCCGGGGGGCCTCGCCCTGGCACGGCAGGAATCCGCCCGGGGGGTTCCGGACCACCCCACCCCCGCTGGAACTCGCCGGCCCACTGGCACCAGTGGCACATCGGTTTGGGACCGCATCGCCCGGTTCATCCCTGACCCACGGCGCTGGTCCGGGACCGCATCGCCCGGTTCATCCCTGACCCACGGCGCTGGTCCGGGACCGCATCGCCCGGTTCATCCCTGACCCACGGCGCTGGTCCGGGACCGTAGCGCCCGGTTCATCCCTGACCCACGGCGCTGGTCCGGGACCGCATCGCCCGGTTCATCCCTGACCCACGGCGCTGGTCCGGGACCGCATCGCCCGGTTCACCCCTGACCCACGGCGCTGGTCCGGGACCGCATCGCCCAGCCCGGACCCTCTGCACACACTGACACCGGTACTGGCCCAGCCTGCACCCAGCTGTCCCCCCCCCCCCCGCCGCCTGCACCCCAGGGGCACCCCCAGCCCGGGAGCCCCAGCACCAGGACGAGGGGCTGGGGGGGCACCAGCTGTCCCTGTCCCCCCCCCCCCCCGCAGAGGGGCTGCAGCTGGGGGAGGGTGGGTAGAGCCAGACACCCCAAAACATGTCCCTGAACGACTGCCTGCCCTCGGGCACGCCCCCCAGCAGCGGGGTGTCCCAACGCACCCCAAAGCGCGTTCCGCCAGCTTCGGCACCCCCCCGAGGCTCCGACACCCCCTCCGCCCAGCCGGGGTACGTGTGACCCCCCCCCCCCCCACGCAGCCAGACACCCCAAGGGGTTGTGCTGTGAGGACAATGGGTGCAGCAGCAGCACCCTGTCACCCGTGGGACATCCCCCCCCCCCATGTCCCCTCTCCTTCCCCATGCCCGGGACCACCGGGGGGGTGCAGGGGTTGGGGGAGGTGGGGGGCGCTCACCTGAGCCCCTTCCACAGCGCCCAGCGAGCTGCGGGGTGCCCAGCACCCCAATACAGACCCTGCCAGCACCCCACCAGGCTCTGCCCCCCGACCCGACCCAGGGTGAGGGGGGGTCCCCGGGGCCCCCCAAGCCGGCGATGCCCCACAGCAGGGTGGCTCCTGAGCTCGGCGGGGGGGGGGGGGGGGATGGATGACGACCCTTTTGTGTTGCAGAGTGGAGGGACAAAGGGTCGGATGGCTGGCATCCCCCCCAGGCATGGGGCTCTGTGCGTGTGTGTCCCCCCTCCCCCCGGGATGGCACAGAACGAACCCCCCCCCCTCTGCCCAGGGGGTGACACCTTGGCCAAACCGCCTGTCCCAAGGCCCCCAGGGACCCCAAGGGACCCCCCCCCCCCCAAACAGCAGCAGCACGGCTGCACCCCAACGCCAGGCAAGGGGGGGGGGGTGTGAGCGCCCAGGGGCACCCCGACCACCCCCCCCCCGCACCCCTCGGCCGTGCCAGAGCAACGAAGCTGCTGCGGGGACCTGGAATTGAAGGATTTGGATGCAAAACTCCCCCGACCAGAAGGATGGGGGGGGGCGGGGGCGGGGGGTGCACCCCGGGGGGTGGCTGTGGGTGCTGTGGGGCACCCGGAGGGGCTGGGGCCATGGGAAGGGCCAGGAGGGGTGCGGGGGGGGGGGGGCGGCGGAGAAAGGCTGTGGCCGAGGGAGGGGGCATGGGGGAGAAGGGGGGGAGAAGCCCCCGGCACGGAGGGGGGGTTCTGCTTTGTCCTCGGGGGGGGGGGTGGTGGGGGTGGGGGGAGGGACAGGCAGGAAATGTCCCATCGGCCGGTCGTTAGGGCCGAGATCAGCGGGATCAATGGCCCCCCCCACCCCCACCCCCCCCAACCCCCTCCCCCAGGCCACCGGCTCTGCCCAGCCCCAGCCCCGGCTCCTCACCCCCACCCCATCCCCTCCCACCTCCATCCATTGTCCTTCCTCCACCCCATCTTCATCTCCATCTTCATCCCATCCCCCCCTTCACCTCATCCCCGGCCCCGCGGCCATCTCCACCTTCATCCCATCTCCACCCCCACCCCGGTCCCTACCCCATCCCCATCAACCACCTTTGTGCCATCCCCATCCCCATCTCCATCCTCATCTTCATCCCCATCCACCTCCATCCTCATCTTCATCCCCATCCCCATTTCCATCCCCATCCACCTCCATCCTCATCTTCATCCCATCCCATCCCCATCCCCATCCACTGTCCCATCTCCATCCCATCCTCATCCTCATCCTCATCTTCACCCCATCCCCTGCCCCCCCCCGCCCCGCGCCGCAGCCCCTGCCCTGCCCCACGGCGGGCGCAGGTTTTTGGGGGGCCGGGCTGCGGATGCCCCAGCACGGCGGGGAGAGGGGCAGTGCCCGGACCCCTGTGTCACCGCTCCGGCCGCAGCCCGGCAGCGACGGCCCTCGGCGGCTGGGGGGGGTGAGGAAGAGGAGGAGAGGCTGAAGGCCGGGACGGTGAGCCCAGCCGAGCTGCTGGGACCCCTCTGGGCAGCCTCTGCCCCCCCAAAGAGCGCCGGCGTCCCGGGGGGGTCTCACCGGATTGGGGACGGGGCTGGGCTGCCCCCCGGGACGGAGCCACAGGGGCCGTGGGTGGCACGTCCCGTCCCCGGGGACCGCGCCGCTGACACCACCGGCAAGTGACAATTGGTGGCGGGCGGGCGGCGGGGGGGGCTGGCACCCAGGGCGGGGGCAAGGCCGCGCCAGACCCAAGACGTTTCAGGCGTTCTCCCCGTAATGAAAAGAAAACACTTATTCTTAGTAGAAAAATAAAGGAATTAAACGCGGGTAGATTCAGCATTGTTTGAGAATGAGGGACGCCTCAGAAGTATTTTGATTTTTTTTTTTTTTTTTCTTTTTTTAGCATTTTTTTTTCCCAATTATTTTTGGCTGACGAGCGATTCTGGCTGACCTGACTCCGCATTTGTTTTGGCGAGCGAACCGCGCGCTGGGAAGTCATTCCTCGGCGGCCACAGCCACCAGCCCCCCCCCCGCGCCCCCCCCGCGCCGTGCTGAGCCGCTGCCGGGGACACCCCCCCCCCCCCCCCCCCCCCCCCCCCAGCACCAAACCCACCCTCTGCGTTCGGCAAACCCCGCTCCAGCGCAGAGCCCTCCTGCCCCCCAGGGTGCCCGTCCCGGCTAGGACCCACCCCCGGCTCTGCCAGCCCCCCCTGTGCCACACACAGACCGCGGGTCCAGCGCTGATCCCCCCGGCTGCCAGACCCCCCCGGGAGGAGCCGATCCACGAGATCCCCCTGCACGGCCACCGTGGCCGTGCCAGCCCTGCCCTGCGCCCCATGGGGACACCATGGCCATGCCCTGCGCCCCATGGGGACACCATGGCCGTGCCAGCTGTGCCCCATGGGGACACTGTGGCTGTGCCCTGCGCCCCATGGGGACACCATGGCTGTGCCAGCTGTGCCCCATGGGGACACCGTGACCGTGCCAGCTGTGCCCCATGGGGACACCGTGGCTGTGCCAGCTGTGTCCCATGGGGACACCGTGGCCGTGCCAGCTGTGCCCCATGGGGACACCGTGGCTGTGCCAGCTGTGCCCCATGGGGACACTGTGGCTGTGCCCTGTGCCCCATGGGGACACCGTGGCTGTGCCAGCTGTGCCCTGTGTCCCATGGGGACACTGTGGCTGTGCCAGCCGTGCCCTGTGCCCCACGGGGATGGCCTGGTGATCCCAGCCGTGCCCTATGGGCCGCCCCGGCCGTGCCAGCCTCCCCCCATCCCCACGCGGTGCCAGGGTGATGCCGCTCGGGGCTATAAATACTGCCGGGGCGCGAGGGGACCTGCTGCCGGGGAGATCTGCCGGCAGTGGGGGGCGACGCAGAGAAAGGGGGGAGCATCGAGGACGGGGACCCCCCCCTCAACCCCCCCGGCCTGCGCGCTGCCCTGCGCCTGCGCCGCGGCCAGGGCTCCCGCCGCTGCCCTCCGCTTTGCCGATTCCGGCTGCGTCACGGGACGCGCTGGTTCCCCGGGAAACCGGCAGGAACGGCACATCCCGGCACATCCCACGGGAGAAGGAAGGGCCCCCCTCCCTTCCCCCCCCGGGGAGGCGGAGGTGGGGGGCACAGGCAGCAAAAGCAAAGCTGCAAGCCTTGGCCACGGCACAAAACCCCGCAGGGCAGCGGCACCGCCGGGAGCACCCGCTCCACCGCCAGCCCCGCGGCATGCCCTGCAGTGGGGCCGCCTGCCCAAACCCACCCCCCCACCCCCCCCCCCAAAAAAAAAAGTGCTGAGCACCCCTCACGCAGCCGGTCACCCCGGGCGTGTGCCGCCTTTTGCCGGACGCTCTGCCTGCCGCCGGTTCCCCGCGCCGGGATGAGCAAGCCCACCCCGTCCCGGCATCGCCGCCGCGCCGCGGGGACCCCCGCCAGCCCCCCGCCCCGAGCCCGCGCCGGTGCCGGGTGGCTCCTTACCTCCCTCTTCCAGCGAGCCAGCCACTCGTCCCGCTTCCTCTTGCTGATGTAGTAGGGGTCCCCGGCCTGGAAGGTGTGCCGCTGCATGGGCCGCTGCCGCAGGCTCGACTCCCAGCCCAGCCCGCCGCGCAGCCGCCCGCGGGAGCCCTGCCGCCGGAGAGACAGAGAGGATGATGAAGGACGTGGCGCCGGCACCGGGAGCCGGGGACAGGCAGAGGCTCGGGGCGGGGGGGGGGGGGACACGGAGCGGAGCCGCTCAGGGATGGGGGGGCTGGAGGTGGGCACCCCGCTTGGGACTGGCCGGGGGGAGATGGGGGGGATGCTGCCCGGCTGGGCCCCCGGCCGCACCAGGAGCTGGAGGCACCGGTCCCACCGGGGACCCCATCCCTGCAGCTCCCCCACGGCTGCAGGTGCCGAGGGACCGGGGGGTGCTGGGTCCTGGGGGGCCGTTCCCGTCTCCGGCGGGTGCCTCGGCGCAGCCCCCAGCCCCGGGACATACTTGCCTCCATTTTCAGGGTGTCGAAGTTGTTTTCTTCCTTCTCTTCCTTGCCTGCACACAGAACAGAGAGGAGCCGTCAGCTGCGGGGGGGATCAGCTGGGCGCTACGGGGCAGGGCACCCCAGCCCCCCTGGGGGGAGAAGGGGACCCAGCTGGGACCCCCCCAGCCCGGCTGGGTGCCGGTGCTGGCCCGGGGAAGGGCACCCATCGCCACTGTGCGAGGCCGGGGCCGTGCTCCCCGGGGACGCCGGCTGCCGGGACGTGAGCTGGGTGCTCCCGCACCCCCCTCCCCGCACCCCTGGTTTGGGGGGGCTGGGGGGGGTGTCCGGGGAGGGGGTGAGGGGGCCCGGGGGGGAAGCGTGCGGAGCCCCGCTGGCTTCCTGTGGTATCGGCACATCTCGCGCGTCGCAGGTACGCTGCCGAGCCCGCTGCCGGGAAAGCGGCTAAAAATAACCCCGACCGTTTCTGGGGTTGCAAACCTCTGCGCACCCCGAGCTGCCAGCACCCCCCCCCCCCCCCCCCCCCGTGCTTCACTCTGGCACAGACCTGGGGTGCAGGGCAGGGGCTCGGCCTGGACCCCCCCCCGTGCCCCCTCGCCGGCCAAACACTGTTTTGCTGCAGGGTGCAGCCCCCCCCCAGCCCTGTGTGACACCCGCACAGTCCCTTGCAGCCAGCACATGGGGACCTGACCCCCCCCCGGGGGCAGCCGCCCCCGAAGCAGCGAGGCCTGAGCAGGAGAGCGGCTGAGAGTCCCTCTCTGAGCACTGGGGGGCACTGGGGGGCACTGGGGGGGCACTGGGGGGCACTGGGGGACAGGAGCTTTCCGGCTCCGTGCTGGGGGTAGGAGTGTGTGCGTGACCTGGGGGTGCCCGGACATCCTGTCCTCCCAGTCCTGCCCGCAGCGGGCACTGGGATCTCAGGTGGGGGAAACTGAGGCACGGGAAAGAGGACCTGGCCTGCTCGGAGGTGCCGGTCCCCTCCAGCAACCCGAGCACGGAGACCGGCTGAACTGGTGGCCCCGCGGCTGCAGCTCGGTGCCCGAGCGTCCCGCACGTGCCCGGCATGGCCGGGGCTCGGCAAAGCCACCGGTCTCAGCTCCTGCCCGTGCCAGCGCCCTGCCCGGGACGCGGAATTACCAACCGGTGGCAGGATCCTGCCCAAGACCTTCCCCCACCGGGGATTTTGGCGGGGATGGGGGCTGCGGGGGGGGGAGCGCAGAGCGGATGGTGAGTCGCGCTTGGGCAGCGCTGGAAGGGAAGGTCCTGGGCCCCGTGCTGGCGCAGGGGAGCAGCGAGGGGTGGAAAGCCGGAGGAGGAACAACCAGCGCGGGAGGCGGGAGGGCGGCAGCCGGACAGCGGCCGCGTTTGCAGGGAAGCGCCGGAGAAAAGGGGAGGGCAGGGAAGAGCCTCCGGGGGATCAGAAAAGCACCTGCGCGGGGCGAGGAGCAGGAGGGTGAGCACCGCGCCCCAGGGCCCCGGCGAGGGGAAGGGGCTGAGCGCCAGCCCGACGCTGGAAGGCGAAGCCTGGCCTGCTCAGGGCACCGCGCGGGTGCTCCCGCCGGTGCCGCCGAATCCGGAGCTGAGCCGGGGGACAGGGCGCCCCCGGGGCTGCCTCCACCCCACTCCGACCACCGGTCCCCGTTCCGCGGCGTGCTGCGCTGACCGGCGCTGGCTCGGCCCGGCTGGTCCAGCTCGGCACCGGGGCTGCACCACGACCCAGCCCAGCACCGCGCCGACGGCTACAGCTTCTCCGCTCCCTCAGCTGCCTGCTCCGGCCTCGTGTCTGCAGCAGCACCCGCATCGCTCCTCGCCGGGCCCAGCGCTGCCTCACCCATCTCCTCCAGCCCAGCCTCCCCCAGCTCCAGCCCGGCCCTTCCCTGCTCGTCTCCATCCCCGGGGCTGGTGGTCGGTCTCTGTGCTGGTCAAGAAGCCCCTGAGAGCCAGAGCCCACCCCATCGCCATCACTCCGAGCTGCCCCATCCCACCGCCCAGCACCTCCCGGCCAAGCAGGATGGTGGCAGCGGGGCCGTGACCAGAGTTCTGCAGGGACGGGGACCCCACCGCCGGGACGGGGACCCCACCGCCGGGACGGGCACCCCACCGCCGGGATGGGCAGCCTGGGCCCCCTCACTCCCACCCTGTGGACCCTCCCGGGGTCCAGCGGGTGCCCGTGGCCTCTGGTCCTGGCACTGGGCACCACTGGAAGAGCCTGGCTCCGTCCCCTTGGCTCCCTCCCGGCAGGTATTTACAGACGTGGATTCAACCCCCCGGAGCCTCCTCTGCTCCAGCCCCAGCTCCCCCCGCCTCTCCCCACAGCAGAGATGCTCCAGTCCTTCGGTGGCTGGTGGCCCCTCACCGGACCCTCTCCAGTATGTCCAGGCCCCAGCACTCCCGGGGTGGCCTCACCAGTGGGCAACGCTCCTAACGCAGCCCAGCCCAGAATTTCCCTCCGTCGCACCAGGACCCGCCGCCGGCCCCTGCTGGTGTCCCCCCACCCCAGACCCCCCCCCCCACCCCGAGACCGAGCTGCCCTCCAGCCAACTGGTCCATCCCACCCCCCCCCACGCCCAGCACAGCACCAGCACCACCAGCACCACGGCCACGCTCTGCCCGCCGGGGCACGCGGGGATGCCATCCAAAGCGGCACCGGCACCGGCACCGGCACCGGCACGCGTGCTCCAGTGCGCCGCCCCCACCCCAAATCCCGCGTGGCACGGAGGGGCTCAGCCCTTCCTCCTCCTCCTCCTCCTCCTCCTCCTCCGGCAGCCCCGAGCCCTCCCGGGGCCGGCATGCCGGGCAGGGCGGTGGGGGCCGGCGGGCAGGGCCGCAGCCCCGTAGCGGGGAGCCCTCAACGCTAAGGTCTTACTTTTCTCTGCGGCTTCCAGGAGTTTCCTCCTCCCGCGTTTCTTCTGGGGGTCGGAAGGGGCCAGCTCACCCTCATCGGCCGGGGCGTCCAGGCCCTCCTTGGGGGTGCAGCGGCCGTTCTCCAGCGCCCGGCCCGTCTCGCCGTCCGGCAGGCTCTCCGTCTCGTCCTCCTCGGGCCGCCCGCCCTTGGGGCTCGCGCCGCCCTCCTCCGCGCCCTTCCACTGGGCACCGTCCCCCTCCACGTCCCCGTTGGGCAGCGGCTCGGCGGGGCTGGCCTCCGGGCAGGGCGGGGGGCACTTGGGGACGGCCGCGATGTCTTTGGGGGTGTCACTGCTTTCCACCTGCCGAGAAGGAGAGGGAAAGGAGCTGCGATGGGCGCTGGCGAGGAGGGGTGGGGGGCACGGCCCCGCTCGCGCCTCCGCCCGCGCCCCACGGTGGGAGACCCCAGAGCACTTTGGGGTGCCTGGCTCCGTTCAGACACCCCGCCCCGTCCCGACCCTAATTCCCCACGGCAGATGGCACAGCACAAAGGGCATCTCCAGCACCACGGCCCACACCCCCGGAGACACGGCTCCACGGCGCGGTGACAACCGGGGGACGAAAGCGCGTTACGCTGAAAAGACGGAATTTCACCTCTGGCACCTCAGGCGTGCCGGGCCGCCACTGCCTGCGGGGCTGGGAGGGTGCCCTGGGGTGGGATGGGGCTGCAATGGCACCCTCAGGACCAGGACACGTGGCCATGGCACCCTCAGGACCAGGACAAGTGGCCATGGCACCCTCAGGACCAGGACACGTGGCCGTGGAACCCTCAGGACCAGGACACGTGGCCATGGAACCCTCAGGACATGGACATGCTGTCGCGACACCACGAGGACCACCGCACGACGTCACGGCACCCGCAGAACCAGGACATACAGAAGTGGCATCATCCGGGACAGGACACGCCGCTGTGACACCCTCAGGATGAGGACGTGCTGCTAGGGCACTGGCAGGACCAGGACACGCTGCCACGGGACAAACGGACCAGGAGACGCTGCCATGGCACCCTCAGGAACAGGACATGCTGCCAGCACATCCTCAGGAGCGGGACACATTGCCATGACCACCTCAGGACCAAGACATGGTGGCACGCCACCTTTACGACCCGGACACACGGCCGTGACACCCTCAGGACCAGGACACACAGCCATGGCACCCCTGGAACCGCAACACTCTGCCGCGGATACCTCAGGACCAGGACAGAAGGCCACGGCACCATCAAGGCCCAGGACATGCTACCATGACACTCTCAAGACCATGACACACTGCTGTGACTCCCTCAGGACCAGGACACGTGGTCACGGCACCTTCAGCACTAGGACGGGTGGCCACGGCACTCTCAGGACCAGGAGACACTGCCACAACATCCTCAGGACCAGGACACGCTGCAGCGACACCCTCAAGACAAGGACACACGGCCATGACACATTCAGAACCAGAGTGCAGTGCCACAGCACCCTCAGGACTCGTGGACATGACATTGTCCGTACTAGGACACACCGCCACGGCACCCTCAGGATGAGGACACAGAGCCACGGCACCCTCGGGGTGAGGGCACAGAGCCAAGGCACCCTCAGGATGAGGACACAGAGCCACGGCACCCTCAGGATGAGGACACACCGCCACGGCACCCTCGGGGTGAGGACACAGAGCCACGGCACCCTCAGGATGAGGACACAGAGCCACGGCACACTCAGGATGAGGACACAGAGCCACGGCACCCTCAGGATGAGGACACACCGCCACGGCACCCTCAGGATGAGGACACAGTGCCATGGCACCCTCAGGATGAGGACACAGAGCCACGGCACCCTCAGGATGAGGACACAGTGCCATGGCACCCTCGGGATGAGGACACACCGCCACGGCACCCTCAGGATGAGGACACACCGCCACGGCACCCTCAGGATGAGGACACAGAGCCACGGCACCCTCAGGATGAGGACACAGAGCCACGGCACCCTCAGGATGAGGGCACAGAGCCACGGCACCTTCAGCATGAGGGCACAGAGCCACGGCACCCTCGGGGTGAGGGCACAGAGCCACGGCACCCTCGGGGTGAGGACACAGAGCCACGGCACCCTCGGGGTGAGGACACAGAGCCACGGCACCCTCGTGATGAGGACACACCGCCACGGCACCCTCAGGATGAGAACACAGAACCACGGCACCCTCAGGATGAGGGCACAGAGCCACGGCACCCTCAGGATGAGGGCACAGAGCCACGGCACCCTCAGGATGAGGACACACCGCCACGGCACCCTCAGGATGAGAACACAGAACCACGGCACCCTCAGGATGAGGGCACTCCGCCACGGCACCCTCAGGAAGAGGGCACAGAGCCACGGCACCCTCAGGATGAGAACACAGAACCACGGCACCCTCAGGATGAAGACACACCGCCACGGCACCCTCAGGATGAGGACGCACCGCCACGGCACCCTCAGGATGAGGACACAGAGCCACAGCACCCTCGGGATGAGGACACTCCGCCACGGCACCCTCAGGATGAGGACACACCGCCACGGCACCCTCAGGATGAGGACACAGAACCACGGCACCCTCAGGATGAGGACACAGAGCCACGGCACCCTCAGGATGAGGACACACCGCCACGGCACCCTCAGGATGAGGACACACCGCCACGGCACCCTCAGGATGAGGACACACCGCCACGGCACCCTCAGGATGAGGACACACCGCCACGGCACCCTCAGCATGAGGACACAGAGCCACAGCACCCTCGGGATTAGGACACACCGCCACGGCACCCGCAGGATGAGGACACAGAGCCACGGCACCCTCAGGATGAGGGCACAGAGCCACGGCACCTTCAGGATGAGGGCACAGAGCCACGGCACCCTCAGGATGAGGACACAGAGCCACGGCACCCTCAGGATGAGGGCACAGAGCCACGGCACCCTCAGGATGAAGACACACCGCCACGGCACCCTCAGGATGAGGACACAGAGCCACGGCACCCTCAGGATGACGACACACCGCTACGGCACCCTCAGGATGAGGACACAGAGCCACGGCACCCTCAGGATGAGGACGCACCGCCACGGCACCCTCAGGATGAGGACACAGAGCCACGGCACCCTCAGGATGAGGACACAGAGCCACGGCACCCTCAGGATGAGGACGCACCGCCACGGCACCCTCAGGATGACGACACACCGCCACGGCACCCTCAGGATGAGGACACAGAGCCACGGCACCCTCAGGATGAGGACGCACCGCCACGGCACCCTCAGGATGAGGGCACAGAGCCACGGCACCCTCAGGATGAGGGCACAGAGCCACGGCACCCTCAGGATGAGGGCACAGAGCCACGGCACCCTCAGGATGAGGACACAGAGCCACGGCACCCTCAGGATGAGGACACAGAGCCACGGCACCCTCAGGACGAGGACACACCGCCACGGCACCCTCAGGATGAGGACACAGAGCCACGGCACCCTCAGGATGAGGGCACACCGCCACGGCACCCTCAGGATGAGGACACAGAGCCACGGCACCCTCAGGATGAGGACACACCGCCACGGCACCCTCAGGATGAGGACACAGAGCCACGGCACCCTCAGGATGAGGACACACCGCCACGGCACCCTCAGGATGAGGGCACAGAGCCACGGCACCCTCAGGATGAGGGCACAGAGCCATGGCACCGTCAGGATGAGGACACAGAGCCACAGCACCCTCAGGATGAGGACACACCGCCACGGCACCCTCAGGATGATGACACACTGCCACGGCACCCTCAGGATGAGGACACAGAGCCACGGCACCCTCAGGATGAGGACACACCGCCACGGCACCCTCAGGATGAGGACACAGAACCACGGCACCCTCAGGATGAGGGCACAGAGCCACGGCACCCTCAGGATGAGGACACAGAGCCACGGCACCCTCAGAATGAGGACACACCGCCACGGCACCCTCAGGATGAAGACACACAGCCACGGCACCCTCAGGATGAGGACACAGAGCCACGGCACCCTCAGGATGAGGACACACCGCCACGGCACCCTCAGGATGAGGACACAGAGCCACGGCACCCTCAGGATGAGGACACAGTGCCATGGCACCCTCAGGATGAGGACACAGAGCCACGGCACCCTCAGGATGAGGACACAGTGCCATGGCACCCTCGGGATGAGGACACACCGCCACGGCACCCTCAGGATGAGGACACAGAGGCACAGCACCCTCAGGATGAGGACACAATGCCATGGCACCCTCAGGATAAGGACACAAGGGCACGGCACCCTCATGGCGAGGACGCACAGCCGTGGTGCCTTTAGGACGAGGACAGACTGCCGAGGCACCTGCAAAAACAGGAGACGGGGCCATGAGATCCTCAGGACCAGGACACACAGCCACAGCACCCTCAGGACCGAGACACACAACCATGACACTCTCAGGACCAGGAGACAATATCACGTCACTCTCAGGAACAGAACACAATGCCTTGAAACACTCAGGACCTGGACACGCTGTCGTGATGTCCTCAAGACAAGGACAAACAGCCACAACATCGTTTGGATAAGGAGAACAAAGCCATGACACCCTCAGGACCAGGACACTTTGCCAGAGCACCCTCATAATCAAGACACCACGCCACGATACCCTCAGGACGAGGACACGGGGCCACAAGATCCTCAAGAGCAGGACACAATGCCAGCACAACCTCAGGTTAACAGCACCTGGCAACAGCACCCTGAGGAGCAGTACGTACTGCTGCGGCACCTTCAGGAGGAGGATGCAATGTCACGACACTTCCATGGTCGGGAGAAATGACCATGGGACCATCAGGACCAGGACACACAGGTGCGACACACTGAGGACCAGGAAATACTGCCGTGGCACCTTCAGGGCCAGGACCCAGGGACATGACACCCTCATGACGAGGACACACTGCTGCGTCACCAGGATACGCCACCGTGGCACCCTCAGGACTGTCACCAGGATACGCCACCGTGGCACCCTCAGGACCAGGAAAAAAAATGCCACGGCAACTTCAGGAGCACGACGCTCTACCACGGCAGTCTCAGGGCAAGGAGACACTTCCACAGCACCCTCAGGAGCAGGTCACCTTACAGTAACACCCTCAAGACCATGACACAATGACATGGCATCCTCAGGACCCGGACACATGGACATGACAGACATAGGTGACACCACGAAGACTGGCGTCCACTGTCATAGCAACTTCAGGACCAGAACACGTTGTCCTGACACCCTGAGCACGAGGACACGCTGCCACGACATCCCCTGGACCCGGACACAAAGCCGCGAC